CTTATAAACTCTTATGTATATTGTAAAAATCTATACATTAGTATTAATATTAATATATACATAAGAAAAGTAAATAAGGAATATACTATTGTAATTTATTAATGAGTTGTATCTATAATTAATTCTATAAATATAAATATAACTTGTGGTGATTAATAAGATGTAAGTGTTTTAATTTAAATGAAAAATAAATTTATCTAATAACTATTTTTTATCTATTTCAGTGTTATAATAAGAAAAATATAAATTTTCAAGTATAATATTGTAACAAACCTTAATGTTAAAAAAAATGTAGAGTAATGAGAACATAAAAATTAACATGGCGAGTGTATGTAATTTGTTACGTTATTAAATGCAGTAATACGAATGATTTGTTAAAAGTATTCAAAGTCTAAAATTAAAATCAGCTCGACCTGTTTTTATTTTTCCCGCCATTTATTTGAAAGCTCTAATCTAATTTTCGCGTAGAACCCGACTGAAAATTTAATTTTCGTTTAGGAATTTATTCAATTAATATTATCTTGCATAGATAAGTATGAAAACTGTATAAATCGATAGTTATTGCAACTAATTTTTTAAACTGAATTAATCAGAGAATTGGAGTTTTAAAATTAATAATTTTTTATTGAATGAGGTCATTGTGGAAAGACAATTTTATGTGAATAATCTTGATGGAACGTGTTGGCGCGTTATTTTTCCCACTCTACAAAATATATATATATATATAATAATTGTACTAACGTGCTGGTTAGGTAGCCGTTCGGCCCTTTTACGCGAATCGATCGCATAAAATACGATTGAAGAACTTTTCTACTACTACATATTATATATCATATATATATTACACGAAATTGACGATGTGAGAGTTAAGCAGTATTATAATGTATAATAGTATAGGACTCTGGTGTGAATGTGTACAGTTAACACAACTATACTGAAGCGAGAAAGAAGATATAAGATATATGTATAGAGTTGGAGCTTGCTATCAGAGAGACAGAGACAGAGATAGTGAGAGAATCATGTCGTTAGCTTAGGTTGGTTGGAAAAGACGCCTTTTGCCACTACATATACTACAGAATAGTACTGTGCAGTACTCAACTACTCTACTCAAGGGATTGTGCGCGCGCGTGCTTTCATTTAACAAACAACACAAGTTAAAACGTGTGTACGTATACAATAGGGTACAGAGTATAGCTTATAATACTAGGAAAATGAGGATGGAGGCATCGAGTAGGTGTAGAGTACATATGGAACAGCTTGGATAGAGATAGAGATAGAGATAGATGTGGAAGAGAAGCCGCATTTGTTCCACGTCAAGTGTCCCAAGTCTGCGACTTTTAAAAGAAGATGGGCAATAAGTCTAAGAGGGGATTTATGAATAAGTACAAGTATCAACTACTCAACAATTCAATCTCTAATTTGCAATGTATTATATTTTTGAAATATTATTTATAATATTTCTTCTTTTGTAATAATTACTCATGCGATCAGCGATTCTGATAATTTAAAAATTCCCGCTGATTTTCTTCTCAAAAGTAAATTTTAGTCCTCGTTTGTTGAAGAAGAAAATATTTAATGTTATTGTTGTCATATTTATTATTAGAATACTATTTATTGAATACATATATAGATAGTGGTGAGTTGTGAGAGAAATAAGCGAAAAAGCGACGCGATGTTTTCTCAAAAGTTCGTAAAGTACGGAGGCCGTGAGAGAAAGAGACCGATAGAGGGTAAAGTATACGGTAATGCTAATGAAAGAATGAGAGAGAAACAAATAAAATGGCAAGCCGGTGGACGAGGAAGCCAACGCGCGCGAAGCGCCGACTGCCGACATAATAATGTATGGCGTTGCCGCTCGCTGCGTGCTTGTTGCTATTGTAAAATAAATTACTATGTCTCATTACAACTTTCTCTGTAAAATAACTCATCTGGATTTAAATTGATAATTTATTTTTTATTTAAATGTTGGGCAGATATTAATATATACTGTTGATTTCTTCTTTCAGAATTTCAAATTATTGATTGCAAAAGTACGCGCGAAAAAAATTAAAACATGGACGTTGATATTAACCCGCCATTATTTTAACTTATATTTAACCGTAAGGTTAATTAATTTATGGAAACTATTGTTATTAATTGATGGATATGGATGAAAATAAAAAACGCGGGAGAATATGGATGATTTGAACGACGCTGGTGTGTATACACACGAGGATTTGTGACAGCGGTAAATTAAAATGGCGGATGCACTAGCGTCTAGCGTCAACAAGGCTCCAACTACGTGTGTTGTACAATTGGAGTTGTAGAAAAAAAAAAATCAATTATGTAAAAATAAATATTTTTAATGATAATTATAATAATATTTTTTTCTTCAGAATATCAATGGGAACTTTGAGAAAAATAATCTATGAGAAGAAATAATCGTAGTAATAATTTCAGCAACACATGGTTAAAAAAATGTAATTCAGAACAATAACTGAGTAATTAATAAATAAAATCTTATACCGCTCGGCGGAGCTACGGGCACGGCTTATCTGCTTTGATACATTCGCCAGTAACATAATATATAAGTACGGGATAGGTAATTATAGACGGCATTGTGACGATGAACGAACACAACAGGGGTGATCAACCGAAGCCACGCGATTTCATGGCGTCACTTGAATTTAATAGATATTTCTTCTCTGGCTCAACTTTACCTTCCGGACAATATTTTATCATTTATTGGTCATTTACATAATATTTATCTAGCCGCCATTTATGTAATTGTGACTCTACTCTCAGAAAGAAAGACAGAGAGGGAACGAAACTTTCCAGAATGCACCAGAAGTTATTTTATATAGGTATGTGTAGGTGAAGTGCAACAGAAATTATGTTAGAAGGTAAAAAACAAAAAAAAATGGAGCCCGGTGGAAAATGCCGGCCGGCATTCACTCTCACATGTCGACGTCGTCGTCTTGATAATCGCCGTAGTAGTCGTCGTTGTCGGTTACCCGCGTAACTCTCCATTACTACACCATGCGCTCTACTATTTTTTCCCACAATATATATGTATATACATATATTTATGTATATCTTCCCAAGCTTTTCTTCTCAAAACTTAAATAAAAAATAAATTGCCGCGTAACTTTAACTTTAAAATAATTTTACAAAAAAAAAACAATCTAATAAATAAATAAATAAATAAATAACTTACCTCAGCCGCCCTCTTGATCCCTTTGAGTTCGCATTTCGCGTCCTCAGTTGGCTTGTCGTTTTCCGTTTTCTTCTCAACGTTCACTGCCTCTTTATCATTGGTACTCATTTTCGTATTGTTTTTAACGGATAACGTTCAACAAAATAAATAAATAAATAATAATATATTATTATTTATTTATAAATTAATAAATCAATCAGGTGATGAACTCTGTTGGTTAGTTATTTTTATATATATAATGTATTATACAAATATATATTTATATATATATATATATATATATATATATATATATATATATATAGGTGTATATATATATATGTGTGTTATATATTGGTAACGCGAACGTATCTCGAACAGTGTACGAGAGTAATAATAATGGACGCGTTTATAAAAAAAGAGAGAAGCACGACGAGCTGACTACTGAAGAAAAATGCGTGCGTCCTCACGCGGCGTCGGTTTCCGGCGAAATACCCGAGAGCGCAGCGTCGTCAGGCGAACCCTACCGAGAAACAACGAACGATGACGGTCAGAGAGTGGGAGTTACCGAATGAGTCGAACCACTGTCGAGATATTATGTTAGCGTTGTGTCTATTACTATATATATACCCTACATACACTTTTGCACACTGGGTACATCTACGCGGATGTGTAGTTGTGTAAAAGACAGCGGATTCATCGTAACGAAAGAGTGGGACCATCGGGAGAGGGTGATGGGGAAGAGGACAAGGGGAGAAGAAACGCCGAGCGAAGAAAAAGGACCATCTACGCAAGAAGTTATGTCGGAGCGAGATGATAATACCAAAAGTGACAGAATGAGGCGCTTTATTAAAGCTAGAGCAAGATGACAATGTTTATAATGTTTTATAGGGGAAGGAGTATGTGATAGATGTGTATGCAATCAAAGAAGGGGTAAAAAGACAAGATAGGCCAAAGGCGATATATACATGTATACATTCATCGAGGTATATATTAATATATATGGAAAAAATATTTTTTTTAGATTTATTGAATTGTTATTTTATGTTAAAAATGTCTTTTTTCTTTAGTAAAATTATTTTATTTTTAGGTTGAAAAAAAATAATTTTTTTAGCGGGAAGATTTATAAATTTAAATTGAAGGATTTAATAATTATTATAAAAGGATTTGTTAATAAGGATAAGGAATTGTTTTTAAGATTGTTTGTCATTGTTGGTTGTTAGATATTTGGCTTTGTTTGAAAAATGAAGATGGCGCGCGTTTGAAACTCGATAAATCCCTGATTGGCCATATTTTATTTTAATATTTAATAGGTATGGATCTTTAATTGTTTAGATCTATAATTGTTGTTAATAATGTATTTAATTGATTATTTATTTTACAGGCAAGTTTTAAGGGGTGTGTGACTGTGGTAAATAATATTAATTGTTTAAGCGAGGGGTTCGAGAGTTCGTTGGATGGAAGGAGCGTCTGGTTTGAGACTATCTCGCTGGATTCAAATAATGTCTACGTGTGTGGACTCGTATGTGCGTCCTTACTTTGCCGCACTTTTATCCCTCTTTCAGCTTTACTTTCAGGAGCTCGTTTCAATTATTAAAATTTTTTTTATTTTCATTTAAATATTAAGTATTATATACATCTAGGCTTTTTTTTTTACAATTATTTAGTTAAGAATTTTATTTTATTATAATTTTCTAGGTGGTATAGATGTCGCGATAGAGCTCCTGTACACAGCGCATATGTGTGAGTGATAAAGGATGATGTTTTCAAAATGTTTAAGAATATTCCCGTAAATTCTCGATGTTACTCGAATAGAAAAAAAAATATGTATCATTACGACAATCACAATCATGTATGACCTCACATGTTACCGTTATTAAATTATCGTTTTATTTTATTTAATAATTTATTATTAATAATTAAATACTTTTGATTCATAAAATTTTAAAAAATTTAGAATTTTTGATTTATTAAATAATTAAATTTTATCTATTGATTAATTATAAATTATGTATTAATTTTAAGAAAATTATTTAATTAATCAATTCATAAATAATTGATTGAAAAGTTTATTAAATATAGGAAATTTTATTTATTGATATTTGATATTTATTTATAGAATAGGTGTAAAAATTTATAATCAAGCAGGTTATACTATTAACGCATGCGTATTTTGAATTTTTCGCGCTTGCGCTTAAAAGTATTTCAACCGACTTACGTATTACTTGTTGTATTTTCTAAATATTCAACTGACTACTTGAAATTTCTGTCGCTCTGTCAGAACACTCTTTTAAACGGCCCTTCTAAATAAGGAAAGATGGTAAGGATTATGAATTTACGTTTTATTTTATCAAATCTTATATTATTCCAACCATCTTGATCATGATAATTCCCATTAATCAACCAAAATTTATTGATGATTCTCCGTTTAATTAATTCCCTGATATTTGTGCAAAAGTTTTTGTTTGAAAAATCTGGAGAAATGTGATCGTATTCTAACCTCAAAATTTTTTAATATTTGTGTAAATACTGAAATTAACAAAACTTAGTTTAACTATTGAAGAAATTAATTTCTTGTAAATTTGCATCGATAATTAATTTCATTTTTAATTTATATTTATTTTTATGTTTTGAAATTTATAATAAAAAATTAATGACAAAATACTGAGTTATAATTCTGTTGACAATGTCTGGTAACTAATTTGGATATTAATGTCTTTAGGTGAACGTTCCAAAACAAAGGCGCACTTTTTGCAAAAAGTGCAAGGTCCACAAGCCACACAAAGTAACTCAATACAAAAAAAGTAAGGAAAGACATGCTGCCCAGGGTAGACGTCGTTATGACCGTAAACAACAAGGTTTTGGTGGACAGACTAAGCCTATTTTCAGGAAGAAGGTATTTATTATTAAATTATCTATTTGCTTTGTAATATTTCTTAATTATTTACTAATTTATTATTGATGTTTAGGCCAAGACTACCAAGAAAATTGTATTGAGGATGGAGTGCACTGAATGCAAATACAGAAAACAAATTCCACTTAAACGTTGCAAGCATTTCGAACTTGGTGGTGATAAAAAGAGGAAGGTGTGTATTCGTGTTTTAAAAAAATTTTTTTTAATTTTTAATTTGAATATAAACATAATTTCACTGAATACTTTGTGTTTAAAAAAAAACTTTCATTTTAGTATTTTTTAAATTGAATTGTCAGTGATTTAATATTTTATTTCAATCAAATAATTTTTTAAGTAACATTTTCAATAATTTATTTTTAAAATTTGTTACAGGGGCAAATGATCCAGTTTTAAGTGCTAACCATCTACTAAAAATTGGAATAACTACTGTATTTGCTAAGAAAATAAAAAGAAATCATTCTTTAATTATAAATTATTTTATTCATTTAATTATTATATAAAAATACTCGTATAAAGTTATTTATTCATCTAGGAATACATCATTCTGGTGTATCATTGGTCTTAGGAATAAGATGTTGAGGGTCACTATAAAATAATTATTATATAAGTAAAGAAATATATAAATTTAATAAAATAAAAAATGATACTCACTCAAGCAGATCTGGATCCAGGCCTTCTTGTTTCATCTTAATTTTAACAGCTGGCTTTGGCACACCGAAGTTCACCATTTTGAAGTACTTTCGGTAAATTGGATGCATGCTAATTGGTTCTAAATTGTCTGACACTTCTTGGTTTTGTACTTCAACTTTTGTACTTTCAACATCTTGCTTGGTATCCGCTTCATCTTGGCCAACTGGATCTTTGTCTGGATATTTGGCTTCTGGAGTAGTGGGTGCTGCTTCTACCGGGATTTTATCAGCAGTCTCGTTTTCTTTTTTGTCGCAGTCTTTATTTGGTGATTTAATATCTAACCCTGGCACTGACGCGAGCTTTAATAAGTTAATAAGATAGTATTCAAGGCTCTCAATTAAATGCTATTATATATGACACTGAAATTAGAAGTCACTAGACAATTTTTTTACTTTTTTTTTTTTAAATTGCATTCATAATTTTTTAAAGTAAATTTTGTTGCTATAATGAATTTGTTTAAAAAATTATTAAATGTCGTTCAATTTTAGTATCATTATTAAATGAAAATTAATTTAGCATATATTTAATAATTTTATAACAAATAAATTATGGAAAAAAAACTTGACATGTAGAAATTTAAAGAAATGAAAAAGGCACTTTTTTTAGAATAATATTTTGGAACAAATTTGTTTGTTAAAAAAAAATTTTTTTAAATTGTCTAGTGAGTTTAAAGTGCTAACTTTAATGGTATCATTATTATATATTATTAAATATAAATTACCCTAGATTCAAGAATAACAACAGCAGCTTCCAATTTTTGTAATTTATTTTCAAAATCATAAAGTTTTTCTTCACATGTCAGTGCAAATTTATTTAAAAATGAAACTGTCGTTACTATAAAATGATTTATAAAAGATATTGTTCTTTTTTGATGGATCGGTGGTACCTGTAAAAAAAAAATAAAAATAATTAATTCTTTAATTTTAATTACTTATCTACAAACTAGAATTATACAATTCTTTTGACTTGGAAAATTTTTATATTAAAATTAGCCGACATTTGACAATTTTTGATTTTTTGAATCAATAAAAATGACGAGAAAAAAAATATTTTTGAAAAATTGCACTTATAATTTATAAAATTTTCTACATGTCAATTTTTTTTTTAATTCTTTTTTATTAATTTTTTTCAATAAAAAAAATTATAAAAATTTTCAGATGTCGGCTAATTTAATTTTCATAAATTTGTCATTTCCCAAAAATTTAAAAATTTTTTTTAAATTATAAATAATTCGATTTTGATTGATTTAAATAATTAATTAAAAAATACCTTAGTGTAATCAATAGTCGGCTCGACAATAGGAATATTATTGTCACCCATCATAAATTTTTAATTATTATCCATCACTTGACATTTTTTATTTTACTATTATTATTTTTGCTATGATGATTATTTATTTAAAAAATTATTAAAACTAATAATCACAGTTTCAATATAATTAGATTAAACAATTATTTTTATCAGGCCATATAAATATTGTATATTTATTACTAAAAAAGAAGAAAAATAATGTAAATATAATTTTTATATCGAACATGTAAGAGCTATCATATTCATGACAGCAACTTGCTGTTATGATTGTCAAAATTTTCACGTACGACGATTAAAACGCCACCAAGTTGTATGTACGTGTATTATCGTTATTCAAATATATAAAAAGTTAGTTTTTTGTAATATGGAGATTAAAAAGAAAAAAAGAATCCTCTCAGCTTTTAAAAAATAGTGCGCAATTATTACATCTATTAGAGTTAAATATTATTTTATCACATTTTGATGTTATGAACCTAGAAAAATATATTGATTGATATGACTAATTTAAAATTATATAAATATTTGTTCATCCAGGACGACATTTTGATATGAAAATTAAGTTAGCCGACATCTAACAATTTTTTGAATTTTTTTTATTGAAAAAATTATCTCAAAAAAATTTCATTTGTAAAAAAGTTGAGAAATTATGCATGCAATTTTTAAAAAATATTTTTTAGTTCTAATTTAATAAATCAAAAATTTAAAAAACATTGGCTAACTTTAGTATTATCATTTTGATTGATTACTTTGGCTTGCTTTAGTAATTAACTCAATCACTATCTTATGAGCGGATATATGTAATTATAATCCTGTTAGTGATAAGATATTTATATATATATATATATATATATATATATATATATATATATATATATATCTGCTACTTATTTATTATTATTACTATAGTAATAATTACCATTATTATTATTATTATTACTTACCATCAAATGATATTTAGAACATGATTAAAAAAATAATAATGCATTTGGATGGAAATAATTATAGACAAGTCGTAATAGATACTTAATCAAGTATTGAATCGTTTATTTTCAAGATCAAATTAAAAAATCATTTCATGTAAAATGAATAGTGTAATTTAAAAAAAATGTTAATATACATTCATTCAATTGAAAATTCTAGAATAAATATTTGACACAAGTCATATGTAGATATTTAAATATTCCAAGTAAAAAAATGAATTATTATTTCCTTTAAAAAATTACAATCAGTACATATAGCTACATTGTAAATAAATTTTTTTGTAGTATCTAAAAAATTTTTATCTATACAATGATTATCTCTCCTTACTCAATTATTAATAACTTTTTACTTAAGAAAGTCTAATTTTTCCATAAGCATTTTATACAATTGGTCGAAATCGTCATTAAAAAATAGATAATATACAAATGATATTATAAATATATAATATATATATTCATATTAATTGACACGTTAATTAATTATTTAAAATTACTGATTAGATTCTAACAATTGAATCTCATCTAAAATATCTTTCTTTTTGGCTATTTTGTCAACTATTTCTTTCTCAGGATTTTTCAAATCTCCGCTCTTTATTTTACTCTCAAGCTGCTCAATTTCTCGTATTTTTTTCCGAAGATTTTTCAGACGTTTCATACTATCACTAAGCAGCGATGTGGTGTCAATACGCGTTGAGTTTGACGGCTGAGAGTTAGTTGTTGTCTTATTGCTATTGCTAACTGGTTTTTGTACTGAAGTGTCGTGTGTTTTTTTACTGGCGACGTTATTGGAAACGTCAGAAATCGTTGTTTTGGCAAGGTCCTCGGCTAACGCATTTGTACTCTTATTTTTGGACTTCTTTTTCTTTTTTTTAGTTTCAGCTACAATGACCATACCCGGTATCGTTCTTTTTTGCTCAGCTTCAACTTTGGCTTTGTGTTCTGCTACATACTCAGCAGACATACCCACTGGATATGATAATTTATTCTTTTGAAATTGTTTTCCTAAACTTTCGTACCTAAAAATAAATTTTTTATAGTATTATTATTATTATCAATTTTTATCAGATAAAATAAATGAAAATAAAGTTAGCTGACATTTCAAAATTTTTTATCGAAAAAATTTCAATTAAACAATTAAAAAAAAAATATCACATGTTAAAAACTTGAAAAACTATAAGTGCAATTTTTTATAAATATTTTTTTAGTTGTATGTAATTTAATTAAAAAAAATAAAATCAAAAATTTTTAGACGTCTACTAACTTCAGAGTCATTAAAATAAATGTTAATTGAAAAAATAAAAATGAAAAAGTTTTACTTTAATAAAAATAAACCAATCTGTCAAATGATAAATTTAATACTTACAGAGGTACCTCTTCCTGAGGAACATATCCGTCTCTAACGCGTCTCGGTTTTCTCCAAGAACCATCGGGACGTTGACTGGCAGGAATAAAAGTTCCACCTTTCAATAAAATTATAAAATCAATTTAATCTTTAATTAAAAAATAATTATAAACAGTAAGATATAATAATGATATAAAATTAGACAGTAAGAATTTTGTTTATTTTAAAAATAAAATTATTAATATAAAAAATAACTCGTCTGAAAAATTTTATATTTAGATAAAATTTACATATTGTAAATTATAAAAAATTATTTTAAAAAATATGCATTAATTTCTCGTAAAAAATTATTAATTTAATAAATATTCAAATTGTTTATTAAAAATAAACAATTTTTTAGATAATGATTATTTTCTGTATCACAATAATGATTGTCAAAATGATTCAATTAAGCGCTTTGGAGTACTAACTCCCATTGTTTATACTTCACTGTACAGGTTATAAATATTATTTAAATTATTTTCAGACGTAACTTTAGAAGACAAACGAAAAATAGATTACCTTCATCATCCTTGATATACGATGATGCCATGGTTGTTTAATTAACAGATCTGCAATAAATGTTTAATTGATGTTTCTTGCATCAGTACTTGAAAAATTATCGGAGCTAGTTACTGCGCAAAGCGCACGCTTCTCTTTGCGTTGCTTGAATTTAATTAGAGTAATTATTGTGATGATGGTGATGCCTTGCATGAAGAATGATTGATGATTTTGATGAGACAACAACTACTGACGCGCTGTCTGGAGTTGATCATAAAGAACATGGTTGGGAAGAAATGTACAGCGCCCTCACCAGTTAAATTTATTTGTTGGACAATCGGTAAGATTGAGATTACACATGTCATTGTTGCTTGAATGAGGATGTAAGTAATAATATTTTCATTGAAATTCAAGAAGGGAAAGACAGGTAATGTAGTATGAAAATTCTTGATGAAAGTTAATTTAGCAGATATTTATTTAATCATTTCAAAAATTTTAATGACTAATAAATTTAGAAAAAAAAATTGACATGTAGAAATTTTAAAAAGTTAAAAATGCAATTTTTTGAAAATAATTTATTTGTTAAAAAAAATTAAAAAAAATAAATTTTTTATAAAATTATTAAGTTAATTAATGTATATTATAAATTTTGGATTTATTGAAATTTTAGAACTTTGCAATTCCCTAAGCGTTTTTTGACTTCTTGTTGAGTAAAATCTACCAAAAAGTCATCATTTTTTTGTGCCGCTTGGATCATAATCATCTATAAATTTTTTACACTCAAAGCATAATTTACTTTTTTATTTCAAACCAACATATTATTTTAAAATTAGAGTGAAGTTAGTTGAGAACTGTCAATTTTTTAAATTCTTGTAACAAATAAATTATAATGATAAAAATGCTTTAAAAAATTTCCACTAATAATTTTTAAATGTGAAATTTTTTAATTACATTTTTTTTTCATAATAATTCTATTGCAATAAAACTATAAAAAAATTTCTGTCTGTCAATTTCAGTGTCATAAAATTTCAACTCATTTATATAATACATGTATAAAATCGTACACTTCAAATTTATTCATAAATAATCGTTTTATTCATTATTTTCCATTGATCACAGCTGATTAGTATTTATCACAATAATATGAATTTATAAAACACAATTTATTAAAAAATATCATAGAAAAAATTTATTACGAAATTGAATAAATTATACTCTAATTATTGATAAAAAAAAAAAAAAAAAAAACTATAAACTACCAGAACTTACTTAACATAATGCAATTTAAACAAACATAGAATATCGTATTGGTAATAAAAGTTGTACGATTATTATTTATCTAAGTTAAAGCCATGTACCAAAACACTTGCTAATAATTATTATAACGCTTAATAATTTTTTAGCATATTAAAAATAATAATAATTAATTTGCATAATAGTAAACATTTTCTGCTTAATCAATAATCAATTTCGGAGTTTTACAAAATAATAAGTAATAATTTTTATAATTTACTTAATATCTTACAATGAAATATAACTAGCTAGTAAATGTAATAATATTATTACTAATAATATAAAAAAATATTCATTCAACTGTGGTCAATAAAATTATTAATAAAATATAATAATATTGAAATATAATGTAAAATGTGTCAAATATAACGAAGTTGTAACTAATTAATAATTAATTCAAGCATTTGTTATTGATTAAAATTACCAAGGCCTCCACATGTTATCCGTGTCATCGATTTTCTCGACATCTATTTCAATCTCTTCATCATCTTCCTCATCATCGGTATTAATTTTTTTTACAATCACAGTCTTATTTAATAAAATATCACGATTTGTATTGTCAATTACTAATTCTGATGTTTGTGAGTGTTCTTTTTCAACTGATGGCTGAGAACTTATTGGTAATTTATCTTTTTTTATAAAATTATCATTATTATTATTGCTATTGTTATTGTTATTATTAATATTAGTATTAGTATTATTATTAAGTTCGTCACTGTTTTCGGGTAATGAGTTAACTGGTGAAGAAGTGTGTCTAGGAGCAATCGAAGTCACCGATGATGTTGACGAAGATTCCCACGAAGACTGCGGATCAACTTTACAATTAATAACATCTTGGTTGACAATCGGAAGAGTCGAGTCTGGCGCTTGCAAGATCTAAAAATAAAAATCATGTAGGTATTATTAAAAAGTCAACATCAATTTGGTTAAATAATAATAAGTATACATTTAATGATAACTTACGGAAGTACCAATTTTCCGTTTTGACTGGAGTCCTGAGGCCAAATGACGAGCCAGTTTTTCACCAGACTCTCCTGGAAGTGAGGCGAGATATTTGCATGCCTCGGCGGCACATTGTCCGAAACCTGATTGCCAGCGACTCTCTGCTAATGTTTCTTCGGAGGGTGTTGATGTTCCTGATGCTCTGGAAGCTTGGAGCCGCTGGAGGTACTGCACAGTAAGCTCAAGAATGTCTGCTTTTTCCAATTTACTTATATTTTCTCCTTCAGTCTGAAAAAGAATTTTTTGTTTTAATAATTATAAGATAGATAGATATTGGTTTTATTTGTATCACAATTATGTGTTTTACAAAGAATATAATTTTAAATATATAAAAAAATTTTAAGCTATGTGTTTAAAAAGCTACAGGAGTTTTTAAACTTTAAGGTTTTGTAAGATAATATAAGTAACTTTGATCATATACTTCGTACATGGGTTTAATTTAATAATTATAATTTAACTTTTTTTTTTTTCTAAAATCTGGAGTTTGAAAATTTTTATAAAATTATATTATGAAAAAGTTTATAAATAAAAAAAAAGTTTCTAAAATTTCCACTTAAAAATTTTCAAGTAATTTATTTAATAATAAAAATTATCTTATGTATTTGCTTTTCTTGTTTAAATTTTTAGTATTGGAAAAACTTTTTACAATTGTCAAATTAAATCCAAAATTTTTGATAATAATTAAAATAAACAGCCCATGCATTTTCAAATTCTGTGAATGTAATAATTAAACTTTGCATAAAATTTTTCAAATTTAATTTGAATAAAAAATAACATTATTCCATGTGCTTGAAAAATTTCATTTTCATTCAATAGAAAAAAAAAAAAAAAATACAAACCTCTAAAGCATCAACCATAAGATCTTTCAATTCTTCCAAACATCGATTAATCCGTGCGCGCCTTTTTCGCTCCAACATTGGCTTCGTAATCTACCAAAAATAATTTATAACAAAAGCAAAAATTTTAAACACAATCGTCACAAAACAAATTTAATAAATTATAAAAATTAATTGAAAAAAAAATTATATTACTACACATGCGTCAATAACATTTATCGCATATGCTTAAAAAAAAAAAAAAAAAAAAAAAAAAAAAAAAAAAAAAAAAAAAAAAAAAAACATGAATTAAAAAAAAAGATTGAATGATTAGACAGTTACCTTTTTGTACTGATGAGTCCTGGATACTGGGTAAGGATAATCGTACGCCATCATTGCAATTTTAATTATTTCCCAGGATAAAAATTATATTAACAAGTCTCGCGCCGTATTCGCTGTTAAAGTTAGTTGCTTATATTCACTTATCCGAGTAGCTATCAGTGTGTCAATGTCAAGCGCGAATGGTACAATTGACCAAAGTAAAAGACAGTAATTGACATTGAAGAGATATTGAGTGACATTAGACAACAGCAAGTGCTCTCCATGGAGTCTCTACACCAACTGACTCGACGCTCTATACACACTCCGACAGCCATTCCAACGGAACCCTACCCTCGCTTTACTTTTATCCGCAGCAAACCCTCAATATATCTATATACCTATACCAAACTTTCTGTGTATACTTTACATATATATTTTATATACATTAACATATATTATTCATCACTAATTTATTTAAAAAAAAAAAGGATAATAATACCTTTAATAATAACTTACGTATATACTCTGAAAAATTGAAATATCCTCTCCCGCTAAGTCGATTTATTATTCGGTATTATGTCAATTAATCACTAATATTCATATTAATCACTCATTCATTTTACATACAGTTGTTTGTTTAATTTGAATTTTTATATATACATGAACACACTTTTGTTTCAACGGAGGTTTTTAAATTTACTTTTAATTAATTACTCGTGTTTAGTTAAATGAAAATTAATCATAGTATTATTAGAAAAAAAAATATTTTTAATTTTTATAAGAAAAACTTAAATTTGGGATAAATTTTTTATGAAAAAAATATGAAACCACTTTACTATTTTTTCTAAGGTTTATTATTTTTAATAACCCTCGAGATAAATGTACATAAGAGTGTCTCGTCTTGTCCATTAATGATATTGTTATCAGAATTTTTATTAGATGCTATTCCTCTCCGTGATTATTATTAATATTATGCCTCATTATTATTATCTTTATTGCAATTTTCTAAGCCCGTTTGATATTTTAATTGCTACACATAAAATTCGACTGTCTAGAAAATGGTCATTTGTATATTTGCATAGCATATATGTCACAGAATGCGTGTCAAATTGCTTACAGATTTAATTACTTCCGAAGTAGCCGTTAAGCTTATTTAACTAAAAGCCAGTTTATTGATAAAGTTCGATAAAATCAAAATCATACGACATTATCTGTAGATTAAATAAATATTTGATATCTTGACCAATTAAAATGATCATTTTCCTTAAATTGTCTTCATTATCACTTTAATAAATATTTTTTATGCATGAAATTTTCTTCTAATATAAGAAAAATTTAATAAATTCTGTAATAAGAGTCGATGAGAATTTTATAATTAATCTAAATATTTTTTTACTAAGAATGTAAATAAAAAAGCAATATATGTTACGATAAATGAGTTTTTATTTATTGTGACGTCATATATTTGATTGTGTATATCGACTTATAAAATAACAACAAATATAAAAGGGTATTTAATATGTTCAGATATACATATACATTTATTATCACCTCATCAGAGTAAAAGAGCCTGCACGAGTTAAATAAATATCATTTGTCTTATCACACTTCGCTTTCAATTATGATACAAAAGGAGCGTGCGACTGTTTACATATTATTCGTGGTTCATATATACATACATTTAATCCGTAAATTATTCATAAGTCGCGTCATATAAACATATACTATACGGTTATTCTTAGCGTCCGACTATGTAATGACGTTTTGCGGCTTTTAGTCAATGAAATTCTTCCGAGCATGTTGACATATTATTGTACTCATATTTATATTTATAAATAGGATCTTTTAGTGAGACTTTGAGCTCTCATAAATCGCGCTATCGGTCACTGAATGTATACACATCATCAGTGTAATACAATCTGATTGTTTTGTCACGTGAGATAAGTCCTTACTTATTTAATTCGTTATTTTAAGATTTCATTCAGCTTTGATTTATATTCATAAACTTCCTCTCTACTCAGTTGTATTTACTTTTTAGTCTCATGGTTACGGAACTTGTAAACCGGATATTAACGGTCCATTCATGCCTTTTCAATTCATCACAGTTTTTAATTTTAAATACGATAACAATAAAAAAATTATATTTTATTTTAGTAATTCATTAAATAAATAAATAATAATTTTTAATATATTCGTCAAAAGTAATTTATTAAATTTACTAAGTTTTTAAAAATTTTAGGAAATAATTATTAATTTTTATTAAGCTTCTTTAAAAATTTATTAAACCAGAAATTATAAAAATTTCATCTAAATTTTTAAAACAAAATAAGAAAAAATTTTTAAATTTCAAAACTAGTTTTCTCGAATTAAAAAAAAAAATGATAAATCTCATATTTCAATATATGTCAAAATTTTTTCGCAATATTTTTTATAAATTTTAATAAAAAATTTCCAAGTGTCAGCAACATTCGTCTCCCTTTTTTTTTTTTTCATCCATAAATTTTACAACTCTAAAAAAAATTATCAAACAATTTTTCTCGCACCAATTTTTTCATCGCCTAAAAAAATGACAAATTTTTTTGCCGAACAATTAATACAGATGCGAAACATGAGTTGAGATTGATATAAAAAACGTAATAAAAATGAGTGTTGATAAAATAGCGTAGTCGATAGTAAAGTACAGAGTAAGAGTTAGAGATTGTGTCGCGTTTTAAGATGTGACGTGTGTGAGTCGCGTGTGAGGCTCGCGCCTGTGACCCTCTCTCTTGTCCTCGCGTTCGTCTCGCGTGGTTTGCCCGGCATGGGATCCCTTTCCTGTGCGGCACCGCTACCGACAGAGTCCCTCTGCACTAATATACATACACATAAGATATAACATATAATATAAACACACATACATACACCTAGTGTGGATATATGAATATATACAGGCACAATGTAAGGCCCCGTGCCGGCTGAAGGGCCCGTGTGGGACACGATCCTCGCCTCCGTTCTCACGGTAGCCTCGGAGGCTTGTATCATTTGATGGTTGATGTGCAGTGCCAGGGCCTCTTTTGCTTTAGCTTCCTCTCTACTCCATTTCTGCTCTGTTGTTGTTCTACGTCTCGTTCAACAACAAAACCTACACACGCACATGTGTGCTTGTATTATTTTTACACAATACTTTTCTCAAGAGCATTTCAGTGTAGGTACACACAGAAGATATATAATAGTATGGGCATAGAGGATAGAGGGAGGAATAAGCTAAGGCCCCGCACGCGTTGCGCACGGTTAAGCGTGTACAGACACACGAAAGTCCCCTCTTCTTCTTTAAATTTTTTTCATTTTATTTTATTTATTTTTCTTCTTTTTATTCGAGCACATAGATCTAATCGTACAGTTATGTACCTTTCTATAGATATGTCGTCCATCATTTTTACTCGCTGTTTCTGTAATGCGTACTATAGGTATAGGGGTGTCTGGGGCTCCCTTCTATGCACGTGTGTGTAAAGTGTGAGGGTATGCTTCATGTGTGATGCTGATGATTCAACCAAGACACGCGCACACCCTCGTGGCTCCTCCTTTCTCCCTTTGGTTCCTCCTCTCTCTTTGAGATTCGTTTTGGTCTAGGTAGCATGGAGGACGAGGGAATAAACACGGATTGGTCCGATTCTCATTTTCATCCGCTTTACACAATGAAAATAAATTTATAGCGAGATTGGGGGCAGGAAAGAAATTTAGATGAAATTATGGGGTGAAAATATATCTCTGTGATTGGTTTAAATAAGTTATCGCGGGAAGATATTTTTTTTTATTGGTTCATGCTTGATAACAATGGTAAGGAATTAAGAATTCATCAATAAAATTTTTTTTTAGATTTATAAAATGTAATATTATTGTAAAAGTTTTAATTTCGATTGTTTAGGGTGAATTTTATTTTTTACAAAAAAGCTCCCTAATTTTTTTTTGATAATCTCAGTCAGAAAAATGACCCTAGTCAGAGTACAAAATAAATAATACGGGCTTTTGGAAAAATAATTATTTAAAAAAATAGAAAATAATCACTAATTTGATTATTCAAATTTTGGGTCACACATAACTGATTACACTGCAAAAAAAAATTTTTGTAAATAAAAATTATTCGATAATTTATAAATATAATAACTTCTTATTGTTAAGTGACATTTCACATGGAAGTATTTTTTTATCACTAAAAATTCTTCATCAACACTGAAGATCCAAGTTCATAATGTACGTCAAAAAAAAATCATAACCAGAATTTTTTGGTTTAAACCGGATTTTTCTGGTTTTTGTTTTTATTTGATAACCAAAACAAAGTGTTTACTAATAAAGCATATCTACAAAAATGAATTCTTAGGATAATTTTGTAATTAGTCAGTACTTTATCATTTAAAATATTTTTTGTTTATATTAAAATGTGACAACAAAACAAAAAAAGTAAATGACGAGTTATTTCTACAGCCAAAAAAATGAACCATTTATAACCGATAAAAAACTGATGTTAATTTAAAAAATTTATTATTTTCCATCCATTAAATTCAAATTTCTGATATTATTCATTAAAATGCCATTACAAAACATTTTGGCATTAATCACAGTGATTATTATCAATCGAAAAGGGCATTAAAAAACAAAATGTAACATTAATATAATTTTGAATGTTCGTAATTCAAAATTATTGTTTATTACCGCTACTTCAATCCATATGGTTATTATTTTGTTTAAAACTCGGTCGTTTCAGCGCCAGTTGCCAGTTGGAGATAATACAAGTCAAAAAATAAAAATATAAGTATCATCCTCACATATTATATATTTATTTTAATTTATATATTATGGATGTGTGTTATAATTGCGCGATAGTTATTTACCGTAATGAGATATCGTATTGATTATTATTATCAATCGGTAATATGATTGTACCCAGAAGTGTAATGATGAGTTGAGTCTTGACTCTCGATATATATTATATATAGATATATACATATATACATATTAAAAAATAGGTTGCAGGTGGATGAATTATATTTTTGGAGTGGGTATACATGTACCGTTCGATTCGGTGGTTTTTCGCTTCA